GCCGGAGCCCAGCAGGTCGAGGCTGTGGTGGCCGGGAGCGGCCACTGCACTCCAGTCTGGGTGACAGAGTGAGACTCCAACTCAAAAAGAAAAAGAATTTGGGCTAGGCATGGTGCCTCATGCCTATAATCCCAGCACTTTGGGAGGCTGAGGCAGGAGGATTGCTTGAGCCTAGGAGTTCAAGTCCAGCCTAGGCAATATAGCAAGACCTTGTCTCTGTAAAAAAATTAAAAAATTAGTTGGGTGTGGTGGTGTACACCTATGGTCCTGGCTACTGGGGAGTCTGAGGTGGTAGGATTGCCCAAGCCTGGGAGATTGAGGCTGTGGTAAACTGTGGTTGAGCCCTTACACTCCAGCCTGGGCAATAAAATGAGACTCCAACTCAGAAAAAAAGAGAGAGAGAGAAAAAGATTTTTGGTGGGGAAGATGGTACTGATTTGCAGCACCCCTGGCTGTGCCAAGAATCCATCCCCCATGTTCTCACCAACTGCAGGACGTAAAGTAAAAATCCTTACCGTGTCAGTGGGTGACAAGCCGTGTCAGCATTTTAACCTGAATCTCTGAGTATGAACGAATTTGAACATGAAATGAACTTATTTTCCTTTCAGAAGCTCCTGAATGTGACGGTGATCCGTAGTGGAGAGAAACACCAGCTTAAACTTGTTCCAACTCGCTGGGCAGGAAAAGGACTGCTGGGGTAAAGGATTGGTTTCTGTTCATCTACACTGGGGCACCATCTGAGCGTTAGACCCGCGGCTGAGGGGAAGGCCAGGAGGACATTGGGGGAGGCTGGGAGGTTGCTGGGGGAGGCTGGGAAGAGGCCGAGAGGACATTTTGGAGGCCAGGAGGACATTGGGGGATGATGGGACTCCCAGAAGACATCGAAACTGGGAATAAATACTTGTGGTAGGAAAGAGACTACAGGTACGGGGGATGGTGGGAGCCTTGGTGTCTTTCCCAAGGGTCTCTCTGGTTCTTTCATTAACTGGGCATTTGCCTTAAAAGAATGAATGAATGAAGGTGAAAGCTCAGAAGGGCCCACTTCTGAGCTTCCTGAGTGGAGCCTCCAACCTTATGCCATTCCTTTTCTTTTCTTTCAGCTGCAACATTATTCCTCTGCAAAGATGATTGTCCCTGGGGAACATGCCAGGAAAGCATCTTCCCTGTCCTGGACTTGGGTCTGTGGGGATTTCCTCATTCTCTTCTCTCCCTGAAGCATAAGGATCTGGACGAGGCTGGAGGCGGTGGGGACGCCTCCCCATATGTTCTCTCTGGATTAAGGCATTGTTAAAAACCTGGTTTGTGCTTAGCCTCTTTCACAAATTAGGCCATGGCCCTAAACGGGAATTCTCTGGACTGTGGGCAAGTGGGTGGGAGTTATTCTGGCAGGTGCTGATGTGACTATTTTTTTAGGGATTTTTTTTCCTTCAGATAAACACAGTTTTACAGTGCTGGTATGACCATGTTATCACCCCAACTGAGTCTCTTATGAACATCTCAAACCAAAGCTCAGGTGGGGTCAGAACGTCCTCATAGAGCATTGGGCAAACCCAGCAATTGTGCTGATGTCAAGATTTGACCAACATCTTTCTTTGCACTGAGGCATCACTGCTATGGATAGCGACTTGCTGAATAGTTCCTACATCCTCAGCAGCAGGGCCTAAGGCTGCAGGAGCTCTCTGTGGAAACCAGGGAAAGCCAAGGGCTTCCCAGGTTGCCCAGTGTGGTGTCCGCTTCCTCTTCTGGAACCCACCAGAGGGCAGCAAGCTCCCTTTACTTCTGGCATAAAAATCCCTACAAATTCGCTTCTAATTGGACCTTCTGTAATTGAACCTCCTAGCCCCGCCCAGAGATGAGCACTCTTCTGTAAGCTGCTCCAGTGCCCTCAGCAGTGCTGAGGGGAACGAAGTGTTTGTAGATGTGACCTCTTGAAAATGCTGATTCCTTCTTCCTTTTATTCTCTCTCTTTTAAGATGGTGAGATGGGTCTCAGTGATTCCCACTGATGCTGTGTCTGAATTTTTTCCTTTGTTCAGGTATCACTTTGTTTATTTCCCCCAGATCTCACACACCACTTTCTGTTTCCGAGAGGGCCTGGCTCATTCGCTGAGTAAGTCTGTGTTCCTTGGGACTGGATTTGCTTGAGTTAGATACAGATGCCAGCTTGCCCTGCGGGAGTCAATACTGCGTGTGCTTCCAGCCATGGTTCTCACGCTCAACTCTAAAGCCCTCCTGCCTCTTCCCTCAAACTGTGTCTTCTGGCCATATAGCCACACGTGCTCTCCTGAAGCCAGACACGCTGTGTTTACCAATGTTTGCTGTTGAAATTGTGTGTTCTAAGTCCAAGTGTTTTATAGTCTCTTTTTATAAGTCCCAGACTATAATAAACGCAGCTTGCACCATGCACCATGCAGCTTATCCTTTCTTTTTTATTCTGAGATGTATGCATATTAATCAGCTTACCATCATTAGGGCATGGGGGTGGGAGTGGGGAAAATCATTCACATTCTCCTAAAATGATAACAGCGAAGAGTCTTCTGCATTGGTGCCCCTGGCTAGTGTTCTGTAGGCCTCGCTGTAGAAACGTGTTGCCAGCTTCTATGAGATTCTAGCCAAAGGTTTGTTTTGTTTTATTTTCCATCAGGGACTCACTGTATCATCTAAGCTGGAGTGCAGTACCATGATCATGGCTCACTGTAGTCTCAACTTCCTGGGCTCAGGTGATCCTTCTGCCTCAGACTCCCTAGGAGCTTGGGCTACAAGAGCATGTCACCATGCCTGGCTAATTTTTAAAAAAATTTTGTAGAGACAAGAGCTGGTCTTGAACTCCCAGGCTTAAGCAGTGCTCCCACCTTGGCCTCCCAAAGTGCTGGGATTACTGGTGTGAGCCACCATGCCCAGCCTGAGGGTATTTTAAAATATGGAATGATCCTAATAAATTTAACCAAGTTGTTTTTGCAGAAATGCTTTATGATACAGCAAGATAATGTAACCTATGTAATATTTAATCCAAACTAGCTAAAATTCTCTATACAGCATATGATGCATAGGTCAGGAGGTTGGCAAGACAGAAGTAGGTTCTATCCATGAGACCTGGATATTTCATTTGCTTTTGGAAAAGAAGAGTTCATACTTTTTCACTTAGTCTTGTCAAGACTTTGGAAATTCAAAGTATCAGCCCAGTGCAGTGGCTCAAGCCACTTGGGGATCCCAGCATTTTGGGAGGCCAAGGCAAGAGGATTGTCTGAGCCCAGGAGTTCGAGACCAGACATCCTAGGCAACCTAGCCAGTCCTTGTCTCCACAAAAAAATAAAAAATTATGTGTGGAGGAGTGCACCTGTAGTCTCAGCTACTGGGAGGTAGAGGCAGGCAGATTGCTTGAGCCCTGGAGGTGGAGGCTGCGGTGAGCCGATTGTGCTACTGCACTCCAGCTAGGTGACACAGTGAGACTCCGACTCAAAAAAAAAAGCCTGTGTTGGCCGCTGCCGCTTTATAGAAGATGGCACCAAGGGGAGAGGGGGGCGGGAAGTGGTGTGAGAAGAGGGAAAAATAAGAGTAAGATGAGGAAAGTCAATTCACCTTGCGCGGCGCCTCCACCCCCGTGACCGGCAGGGGGCGTGCCGGCCACGCTCACGACCGCTTTCTGGGCACGTGACCACTGTCTGGCCCTGTAGCTTTACGGCCCGTCGCCCCCAGGTGGCGGTTCCCATGGGGACGGAGTTTGGGTGGCAACCGTAACTAGGCAGTTTGTGGCGAGGAAGGCAGCGGTTGCTGGAGGCCCAGGAAGTAGCTGCAGGGTCCAGGTGGCCGGAGGACCCGGCTTTTGAAGGACCAGGCTGGCCACTCTCTGTAAGTCCTTGGCGGAGGCCACGGGGCCCAAGTGGGGGTCCCGGGCCTGGCGGGACCTGGTGCCCTTTGGGGGACGCTCACCCCACTGAGGCTGTGCCGGGCCTGGGGTCCCAGGGAGACCTGAGTCGGAGGAGGAAACCGCACCTGGGCTTCATGCTCCTCGCAGAGACACGCAGACACCACCCCACCCTAAGCCCCGCGACCCCCTGGGCATCAAACCCGGGGTGACACGATGCGCCGGTAGTGTAGACGAGTCGGAAGAGGCTCGGTGGAAAGAGCCCTGGACTTGAGTCACAGCGGTGTCATCTTGAATAAGCCACTCCACTTCTCAGAGCTTCTTATTCATTATTGTTGTTGTTGTTATTTCTAGTCGGGATCTCACTCTGTTGCCCAGACTGGAGTGCAGTGGTGCGGTCATAACTCACTGCAGCCCTGAACTCCTGGGCTCAAGAGATCCTCCCGCCTCGGCCTCCAGAGTAGCTGACAGGTGTGCACCACTACAACCGGCTAATTTTTAAAAAAATTTTTACTTTGGGAGGCTGAGGCAAGAGGATTGCTTGAGCCCAAGAGTTCAAGACCAGCCTAGGCAATATAGTGAGACCTCACCTCTACAAAAAACAAAGAGGGCTTCCTATAGGCCAGGCTGTGGGAATGCAAAACTGAGTAAGACACACTCCATTCCTCTAAGGAGCTCTCAGGAACGTAGGGAGGCAGACCCATAACCAAGCATTACAAAAAATTAGCTAGGCATGGTGGTGAGTGCCCATAATCCCAGCTACTTGGAAGGCTGAAGTGGAATGATGGGCTGAGCCTGTGAAGGAGGGTGAGGCTGCAGTGAACCATGATCATGCCACTGTACTCCAACCTGGGTGACAGAGTGAGACCTTGACTCAAAAACAAAACAAACAAAAACAAACCACTAAATTTTTTTTGTGTAGAGATGGGGGTTTGCTGTGTTGTCCAGGTTGGTCTCCAACTCCTGGCCTCAGCCTCCAAAGCACTGGGATTATAGGTGTGAACTACTGCACCCGGCCTTTTATTCTAATGTCACTGAAAATTTGGGGGTTTTGTTCTGGGTCCAACTTTTCAGAGATAAAGTATTCATCCTTGTTATTTTCTTAGTTCAAATTCTTGGTCGTTGTAAGAAAATGACGGAATATATCAGAGGGCTTTTAAACTGTTAATTTCTTTGCAAGATAGGGTTGCTTTTATCTCCATAACAACGATTATTACAACTTTTTAAAGCACATAGTGCTAGAAGTGTGTTGAGTATTTTACATATGTTGTCTAATCTTCACAACAGCCCTAGAATTTAGGATTTTTAAAAAAATTTTGCCTGCGAACAATTGTAGACTCTGAGAGATAAGTGACTTTCTCAAGGTCACAGAGCAAGGGAGTAGTGGAAATGGCATTCAGTACTAGACAGGCTGACTGCAAAGCCTGTGTTTTTTCTTTTGAGTTGGAGTCTCACTCTGTCGCCCAGACTGGAGTGCAGTGGCCGCTCCCGGCCATTGCAGCCTCAACCTGCTGGGCTCCGGCGATCCTTCCGCCTCAGCCTTCCGAGTAGCCAGAATTACAGGCACGCGCTACCACGCCCGGCTGATTTTTTTGATTTATTGTAGAGATGAGGTCTCACTGCCCAGGTGGGTCTCGAACCCACGGGCTCAGGCAATCCACTCACCTCAGCCTCCCAAAGGCGTGGGATTACAGGCTGAGCCACTGAGCCCGGCTTAAGCCTGTGTTTTTAACCACTGAGGTACATCATTTCTTCTCTTTCCTATTGTGAGAATTGTTGCTAACGCCTGGGTTATGCATTTTACTGTCTGTGGGAAGATGAATATATTTATGATGAGTTAGAAAGCTCTTAGATCATTTATTCCTAGAAAGTTGAAAGACCCTGGGATCATATATTTAAGGTTTGGGCCACAAATACATATATTTTAGGATTTCCGTGAACACGATATTCTTTGTATGCCTGTAGAAAGGAACTGTGGTTAGCATTGCACATTTCATGGGTAGCTTGGTGCACCAGGAAATCCACATGGGAGATGAGGGTCTACTGATTATTATGGTCAAACCTTCTCTAGAAGAAACTCTACAGGGAAGAATGTCAGATACAGAAGAAACCTCTATAGAAGAAACAGGAGAAGATGAAGAAGCAGAAATGGAAGAAGAAGAATTTGAAGACTATAATCCAGATTACAAAGAAGTCAAAAATATGCAACAGGGATCAGAAGAAGACGCATTAGAACAGAGAGATGCTTGGGAGGGAGATGAAATTGTCATGGAGGAAACTGCGACAAAGGCTGGAGCAGCCCAGGAGGAGGAGAAGGCTTCAGGAGTGCAAGAGGTAACCGCAGCAGAGGACCAAGAAGTTGTCAAGTCCATTGACAGTTTGGAGAGACTTACTGGTTCCCAGTTATCCATGGCAGAAACTTTCCTGGTAAGTAGTTATTAAAATTCATTCATCCATTTTTTTCAGGATCATTCACAAAGGGCTTCCTATAGGCCAGGCTGTGGGAATACAAAACTGAGGAAGACACACTCCATACTTTTAAGGAGCTCTCAGGAACGTAGGGAGGCAGACCCATAACTAAACATTACAAAAGATGCAAAGAGCAGTGATTGGAAGGTACACAGGAGATGAAACAGGCTACTTAACCCAGTTTGGAGGAGGGACAGGGAAAGCTTCCTGGAGGTGATGTGTGCCATAGCTGACTTTATTTATTTACTTAAATTATTATTATTATTTATTTTATTTTATTTTATTTTATTTTATTTGAGTTGGAGTCTCACTCTGTCGCCCACACTGGAGTGCAGTGGCTGCTCCTGGCCACCGCAGCC